AGTGCTGGGATACAGGTGTACGCCACTGCGCCCGGTGTTTTTTTCATTTTTTGAGACAGGGTCTCACTATGTACTGAGACTGACCTGGAACTCACTATGTAGCTCAGGCTGGTCTCAACTCACAGCGTTCCTCCTGCCTCAGCCTCCCAAGTGCTGGGATTACAGGCGTGCGCCACCACGCCCAGCTATGCAGATCTTTCTTAAAAGCGCTTGTAGAAATAATTTATCCATCAACACAGCAGGAGCATCAGAGGTAAACAAGGGTACAGAGGAGCTGCGCTCAGGGACATTTCTCTAAGACTCCACGGAGAAAAACTGACCTTTCCCCTTCTTGTATTAAATTATTTTAAAGACACCATAAAAAAACAACATCTTTAGACTTATGGGCCTGGGCACGGTGGCGCACCCCTGTGATCCCAGGGCTCAGGAGGCTGACGCAGGAGGATCACCGCTTGTGAGTTCCCGGCCAGCCTGAACTGCACAGTGAGACCCTCCATCAAAAAGGCAAAAGCCCCCCCCCCCGCAAAAAAAACCAGAATAAAAACAAATAGGCATAAATAAAGTTTCGGGGTCTCTCGGGAAACCGGAAGCGTTTACTCAACTCACTGTCCAGCAGACTGAAGAGGAAGAGGAAAACCCCACCCTTCGTGGCCAAGCAGGGTGCAGACTGCCGCCCCGGAAAGCAGGGAATTTACAGAGATCCTGGGCCTGCTGGACCTCAGACACCAGGACCAGGGCGGGGCCCGGAAGGCTCGGGTTTCTCCTTTATTTAACGCTCACCACGGATTTCTGGATAAAGGTGGCAGAGTACAAATGCAACTACAAAACAGTGCTTTCCTGACAACAACACGTAAAAGACAAAGCCCAGAACAAATTTCTTTTTCTTCCTGGGGTGGGGGTGCCGCTGAGACGGAGCCTCGCTACATAGTCCAGGCTGGTCCTGAACTCACCGTGTCGCCTGGGCCGGGCTGGCCATGGACTTGGTGGTGATGCTCCTGCCTCAGCCTCCAGCAAGAGAAAACAAACCCTCAGTCCACAGGCTTCACGAAGAGGTGACAGAGAAAGAGACAGAAGACCCTGCTGCTCAGGGCCACAGGACGGAATTCAGACAGAAGTGGGTGGTGGGTGGGTGGGGAGGAGGCTCCGATGCAGAGAGGAAGCCGGGGACTGCAGCACCCAGGCACAGTGCATGAGGGCACACCCCAACCTGAGGCACCTCTTTGTTGAAGGAGCTCAGCTTGCGGCCGGAGCCCCCCCAAGGACACAGGCCTGACCTCGGAGCCTCGGAGCGGGGAGGAGGCACCAGCACCACGGCTCTCCCTGACCCAGCTCAGTCGGCCCCCAAATCCTGCTGCTACTGAGAGCGAGGGTAGGGACACCCACGTGCTGAGCTCTGGAAGCAGAACCGGGCCACCTGGCTGAGCTGCACGGATTAGGCAGAACCAAGTGAAAAGGTCTGTCAGCAACAGAGCAGGGAGGGAGGGAGGAACTGCTGTGGAGGTGACACCCGTCATCCCAGCATTCAGGAGGCTGAGGCAGGAGGGTCACCGTGAGTTTGAGGCCAGCCTAGCTACACAGAAAAACCCCGTCTCGAAAACAAACAAGAAATACTTGCTATAGATAATCAAAAATCGATTCTCCTACTCAGGTCCTATGTGATGTTTTAAAATTACATTAGGGTCGCCAGTTGCTGCACATGCCCGGGGTTCCAGCTGCTGGGGGACTGAGGCATAGGGATTGCTTGAGACCAGCCTGAGTGACACAGTAGGATCCTGCCACTAAAAGAAAACAAAAATATTTTTGTTTTTTGAGATCGGGTTTCACTCTGTAGCCCAGGCTGGCCTTGAACTCGGGTGAGCCTCCTGCCTCAGCCTCCCTGGTGCTAGGATTACAAGTGTGCGCCACCACGCCCTGCTGGATGCAAACCAATTCTACTAGCAATACACTTCTTCTGGACATCCGAACATCCCTCAGCTCCTGTGAGAAAGCACTGACCGGTGCAAGTCTTTCTCACTGGAAAAGCTGCACTGGTTTCCAGGCTCACTCTGAAATTTCAAGCAAGCATTTGTAGAGTAAACTCCGGCCATGCTGGCCTCTCTCGCCCTGCTTCTGCCTCAGGATCTTAGCACTGCCCGCCCCTCAACCCAGAAGAGCTCCCACCACAGCCCATGTGCTGGCCACTTTCTGTCCCTTGGTTCTCAAGCAAGAGGTTTTTCCTGATGCTTACAGCCAGGCAACGCTCTACCCATTGCTGGTGCTACGCAGTGGGAAAGATAAGGGCCGGCTTTCTTGTTTGTTTTGTTTTCGGTACCAGGGATTGAACTCAGGACCTTGCACTTGCAAGGCAGGCGCTGTGCCACTGAGATAAATCCCTGATCCTGTTTTTTTTTTTTTTGAGACAGGGCTCACTAGGTAGGTCAGGCTGGCCTTGAACTCACTATGTAGCCCAGGGACTCAAGACTGAGCGATCCTTCTGCCTCAGCCTCCCAAAGCACTGGAACGGAAGGCGTGGGCCAGCAGGCCTCCCCGATAAATGACGTAGGTCTTGCTTACTCTCAATCTTTCCCCAGGGTGCTGGTGACCAGAACCTCAGTCCCGTCAGCTGCTCTGTCGCCGCGCCTGCCCGTCAGCCCTGCACACACGCAGCTCTGCATCCAGCCACGCTGCCAGGCAGCTCCAGCCTGCGCCCTGCAGACTCGCACTCCCGCCTGGCTGGCTCTGCGCCCTGGGTCCACCCGGGATGGGGCTTCCGGTGCATCGCGAGGAGAGCGGACAGATGCGCAGAGGAGCGGTACAGAAGGAGCAGACGTGAGCTGAGGCGCTGGGCGCAGGATTCAAAGTTTTGGTGAGAGGCATTGTTCACGGGCTACTACTCTGCACCCAGCACTCTGGGAGGCTGAGGCAGGAGGAGCGCAAGTTCAAGCCCCGGCTGGGCAAATGAGTAATTTAGCCCGGCACTGTTTCACGATAAACAGTGAAATCGGAACCACTGTACACGGCAGTGCAGAGCCCTGGTGTTAATCCCAGGACCAAAGGGACAAAGAAGGAAAAAGCTGTCCACGGTGCGAGATGGTTCCACAGCTCTGCCAAGCACCCACGAGTGAGCTCCATTCACCGGCAGGAACGGCACAGGGTGAGGGCGTGGGGAGGGGCCCACCCCGCCGTGCCGGAGATGCCGTCTGGTGAGACAGGAGCGCCCGGCGAGTCCTGGGACTGCACACCAGCTTCCTGCCGCTCCCTCAGGGCTGTGCGATCGGGAAGGGGTGGGGTGAGCTGAGAAACACGACTGGCCAGGGTCCACCCAGTGACCTTGCAGGAGAAACCCAAAGGGCCGGGCCTGGGGGCGCACGCCTGTGATCCCAGCTCTTGGGAGGCTGAGGCAGGAGGAGCGCCACGAGTTCCAGGCAGGCCTGGGCTCTGTAGTGAGTTCGAGGGCAGCCTGAACTACCTGTGAGAACCGGTCTCAACACACACACACACACACACACACACACACACACACACACACACACACAGAAGAAAGAAGAGGAGGGAGAACAGGCCTAGCCTGAGAGCAGAGCTGAGCGGAGAGTGCTTGAGCCAGCGTAAGCAATGCCCCAGCACCACGCATGCACACACGGGCACAGGCAGGACTGACCAATGCTCCCCCCAACAGTCCTCCAGACAACACGGGAGGCTACCGGGGAAGGCCGTGATTTCCTCCAAGCCAGGCGCTATTAAGCCGTTTCCCTGTGAAGGCAACGCCTATGACGAAGGGGGCAGCACTTAAATAATGAACACAAAGGGGGCCATTTTCCCTTCCTGCTGTCAGGGCTAAGCCATCGGCGGGGCTGACGCACAGGGGGCTAGACCTAGTGTGGGGCTGGCAGGTTAGGTAAGTTACTTCATTGTACTGAACTCACTATGCGGGCCTTGAACTTGCAGTGACCCTCCTGCCTCAGCCTTCTGAGTAGATGCTAGATGCTTACTTAAGTGACAGTGACAACCCTGCAAAACTCTATGTTCTTTCACCATCACGATGCATGGCTTGTGCTCACTCTCTCGATGACAACTCCATGCTTCTAAAACTACAAGTCAGGGCCTGGCAGGGTCACACACACCTGTCATCCCAGCACTCGGGAGGCTGAGGCAGGAGGATTGTCTTGAATTCGAGGCCATCCTGGGCTACTTAGAGCTCCAGCCCAGCCAGGACTACTCAGTGAGACCCTGGCTCAACAAACAAAATGGGGCTGAGGCTGTGGCGTGTGGCAGGTTTGGGGCCTGGCATCCATCCAGCATAGCAGTGAAAATAAGACACAGAACCAAGCCTAAAGCAGCACCTTGCTTTTCACTCCTAGTGCTCCGCAGGGTTAGCGTCCGGTTCCGAGACGGCCGTTTCTGAACGGCGGCCCCTACCTGAGCTGCTTGGCATAGCTGAGCTCGATCTCCGTCCGCTCCCTCACGAACTTGATGTATTTCTCCAGGACGTCGATGCCCCACTGGGTGTGCTTCTCCAGGCTGTCAAACTGGTCCTGTTGGGAGAGGGCGGAGGGCATGGCTCAGCCTCCTGCTGACAGATCTGGGTGCGAGACGGCAGGGTGCCCCGTCCCGGAGAGAAGCTCCACTCTGGGGCAAGACGGTGAGACCCCACCGTGGGGAGCAGAGCAGGCGCCGAGTGGGCAGGGGCGGGAGGGCTGCGCGCACACACCCCGCTCTCGTCCGAGCTCCGAGCCCTCGCCGGGTGCCCAGACCAGTGCTTGGCCTGGAGAACCGAGGTTTGTCGGCCACAGCTATTCTGAGGGCCTGGGGAGTCCCGGACCCCGTGAGGGCGGTGGAGACGGCACGGCTGGGCCACCCAGGGCCCAGTGACCCAGGACTGCAGGAGTGGCCGGACCGCAGGCCGCTTCCGGTCACGGGGGATGACAGGGACAGGGTCTCACTTTATAGTTCAGGCTGGCCCTGAACTCGACGCAGTCTTCCTGCCTCTGCCTCTCAAGTGCTGGGATCACAGGCGTGCACCACCACGCCTGCCTGTACCTCTCCATCTTACATCAACTTCACATCCCCCCTGCTGCGGGGACTCCAATTTCCATTCAGTCATGTTGGGCGTCGTGGTGCACGCCTGTGATCCCAACATGTGGGAGGCTGAGGCAGGAGGATCCACGAGTTCAAAGCCAATCTGGCCTATACAGTAAGATGAAGGCCAGTGTAGACTGCAAATGAGACCCTGTCCCAAACAACACCCCCCAAAATATCCAAAGCTGTGCAAAATATAAGGTAAGCAGTTTTGATGGAAGTTAGATTTGGGCAGAGGAGGACAGAGAAGGCAAAAAGTCAAAACCATTCTTTCTCAAACTTAAGAAACCTCACTGGCCATGGTGGCATATACCTGCGGTACCAGCTGCCTGGGAGGCTGAGGCAGGAGGAGCTCTGTGATTTTGAGGCCAGCCTGAGCTACATAGCAACACCATCTAAAAAAAAAAAATCCAGTAGCTTTTAGGACAAGTACTTAAAGTTCTCACCGATTCCTGGCCCTCTACAGAGTACACCACAAAAGCCCTGGGCTCCGTTTTGCAAGGCTACTTCTGTTATCTCTGCTGACAAGGGTTGGTGAGCAAACACACAGTGCTCACAGGACTGCACGTCTCTCCAAAGCACCAGAGAGCAGACCACAAACGACTCACGTACAGCTGCGAACCAGCCGAAGTAACTCGGCTTCTTCAAATGCTCTGTTAGTGCCCCTGGCTTGGCTGATGTAGTTTGGGAGAAAGCAAATTGTTTGTTTGTTTTTGCGGTACCGGGGATTGAACTCAGGACCTTGGGCTTGCAAGGCTAGTGTGGTGCCACTGAGCTAAATCCCCGGCCCTCAAAAAAGTTTGTTTTTAAAATGCTAAGAGGGCCGGGGATTTAGCTCAGTGGTGCTGCCGCCTGCCTTGCAAGTGCAAGGTCCCGAGTTCGATCCCCGGTACCAAAAAAGTGCTAAGAACCCCTCGCCCACAGAAAGGTCCTCTTTGGGTAATGCCACACTGCCCTTTCCCCCCGTTTTTCTGAGACAGGGTCTCATAGTTTGGGCTGCCGTTGAGCTCATTTTGTAACCCAGGCTGGCCTCAAACACACAGCGATCCTCCTGCCTCAGTCTCCCGAGTCTGAAATCACAGACATGCACCACGACACCCAGCGCTGCTCCTAGATTTCTTCCTTGTCCTGTTAACAATCTGACTCCATATTTTCCCCAATTCGGTTAGTCTGCAATTCTTTTTAACATCACACATATATAACCGAGTCCCGCTGAGGCAGGAGGATCACAAGTTCCAGAGCAGCCCAGGGCTACAGTGAGACATCTCTCCGAAGAATGACAAGGCTGGCCTCCACCAGGCACTCCGGTGCACGCCCATGGTCACAGGTATTCGGGAGGCTGAAACAGGAGGATCGCTTGACCTAGAGTTCTAGGCCGGCCTGGGCAATAAGGCAAAACCCTGCTTCAAAAACACACAGGAGGGGCTGGGAATTTATTTAGCTCAGTGGTTCTGCCACCTGCCTCGCAAGCACAAGGTCTGGAGTTTGATCCCCGGTACCAAAAAACAAAACAAAACAAAAATACACGCATAATACCGTACTGGTCTCAGCCCACACATTTCTGAATAAAATGTATCTGTGCTCAAGACCTCCCGGCAGCCGGGCGCCTGTCATCCCCGCTCTTGGGAGGCTGAGGCAGGAGGATCAAGGGGAGTTTGAGGCCAGCCTGGGCTACACAGTGAGACCCTGTCTCATAAAACAAGACAAAATACCACCCTGCAAGCTGTTCTAAGCTCTCAGTAAAATGACAGATCTTAATAACAAAGCCCCAGACAGTAACAAATAAGCCCACCCTTGCTGCTCCTCAAGGCCCCAGCAGCGGTGTGGGCTTTTTTGACAGCAGCTAAAAGAAAATTCAAAGCAGATGAAAAACGAATCGACCACTTACGTTCTTGACTAAAACCTGGAAGATTTAATGGAAAAAAAAAAATCCAAATCTTAAAAAGGCTCCTTTGTGAACAAATATTATAAATGGTCCTTTAAAAATTAGCCTTCGCTGCTTTGGGGATGGGACAGTTATCAGAAATGCGCCCCTTCTTCTTGCTGCCACGCGACAGCAGCTCAGAGGACCCCTCAGCCCTGTCAGAAGTCTCTCAGGCTAAGCGTGGGGGCGTGCGCCTGTCATCCCAGCACTCGGGAGGCTGAGGGAGGAGGATCACGAAGTTCGAGACCAGCCTGGGCTACACAGTGATTTCCAGAGCAGCATGGACTGCATCGCAAGACCCTGCCTCAGAAAAAATAAAGACTCAAAAATTAAAGAGATTTTAAAAATATCTACTAATACATCTAAATAGATAAACATATCCCATGTTAGTGAAAATGGCATATTTTTTGTTTTTAAAAACTGATTTTGCAAAAAAAGAAAAATTAGCGAGAAGAGTGGATCTCTTTCACTTTTTTTCCCCGTTTTACTTTTCTGCAGACCTCTCTGCGGCCCGGCTTAACTGGAGACAGCTGGGTTCCCTGAGGGTTTTGCACTCAGCCTGCCACTCCGGACTGTGCCTGCAGCAGTAAAAACTGCAGCTTCCCACAGGAGGGCGGTCAGGAACAGCGGGGTTTCCACGCTCTTCTCAGATAATCGCAGATACCCTTTGATATCACTCTGATACTTCACAAATCGTCTCTCAAAGGCTGACTGCCATGGAACATCTGGAACCACAGGCGGGAACTCAGCAGATTCCGTCACAATGAGATACTCTGGTCAATCTTGTATTTTGGTTTGGTTTGGTTTTTTGAGACAGGGTCTCCCTAAGCACTGGAAGCTGGCCTCAAACTCACTATGTGCCTTGAACTCGCAGCGATCCTCCTGCCTCAGCCTCCCACGTGCTGGGGATACACGCGTGCCTGGCTGAGTGGCTCTTTACCTGTGCACGATCAGGTAACAGCCTTCCCCGGGCAGTTAGAAAATAGGATCTTGTTGATACATACAGATGCTGTTTTCTAGAACTGAGGCATTTTGTTGCAAGATATTAAATGTGCCTGTTTACATCCCCACCCTAGCTCATCTTTTGTCTTTAAATATCTGGAAACTGTCGAGCTCAAACACAACCTTCCCCATTTGCTAATTTTCACTGAAAAGCTGGGATGCTGTCACTGACAACAAACGTGGGCAGTTGTTTCCCGGAGATCACAGCCCCCCCATCATTTCTGTCTGTCCAGTTCTAGGAAAATCACTACCATGTGCTGTGGTCTCTCATTCTTACAGACAAAAGCAGTGTTCAGGGGGCTGGGAATGGAGCTCAGCAGCGCCACATCTGCCAGGCAAGTGCGAGGTGTTGAGTTTGATCCCAGGTACCGAAGGAAAAAAAAATTAGCAAAAGAGGGATTCAGGAAAAACCAACTTGTTACGACTCCATTGCATAAGAATTCTGGTGTTAGTGTGCAAAAGTGCTTTAGGAATACCCCATCCTAGAATCCATACTATTATAAACACGTATTGCTGGGCATGGTGTTCAACGCCTGTAATCCCTACAACTCTGGGAGGCTGAAGCAGGAGGATCCCAATTTTGAGCCCAGCCTGGATAACTTAGGGACTCAGTGAGACCCTGTCTGCAAAAAAACAAACAAACAGGCTGAGGACTTGGCTCAGTGCTAAGGCCCTGGGTCCGATCCCCAGTTGGGGAGGCCTGACGTACAGTAAAGGTAATGCTCTTCACTGCTCCATCAAAGACTTCAGTTTTTGGAGACAGAATCTCAGTAAGTAGTCCGGGCTGGCCTTAAACTCCTGGTGATTTCCTCCAGAGGCTGAGCCACCACACCCAGCTACTCTAAGATGTTTAAGGTGCGCATGTGCGAGGGTGAAGAAAGCCAGGTAATGGAAGTTACTGTTTAATTTATGAGCACGCATTACATATCCCGCCTCACTCCAAAACCCCAAGGACTCCTGGGGAAGCTGCCCAGCGCTGGCTGCAGGCTCACGGCACTTGCCAGGCCTCCCCCGACCGCATCTTTCTGGAGGTGGGGTCTACATATCCACGCTAGCCTTCAACTCACTATGTAGCCCAGGGTGGCTGTGGACGCCCAGTGATCCTTCTGCCTCAGCCTCCCAAGTGCTGGGATCAAGGGCATCTACCACCAGGCCCGGCCGACCTCAAACTTGAGATCACACTGCTCCTTGCGTTCAAACCAAGCCAAGTTTGTGCCAGGGCAACTTCGAATATGGGGCCTCCTATCACGGAAAAGTGTGTTCGAGGGGCCCTGGTTCCGAATCCCTGGGAGAAGCTGGCCTGGGGGCCAACCTGCTAAAGCGACTCTCTCTGAGGGACACAGACTCGAGGTCACGGGACGCCGAGGCCCGCAAATCACCGGTCGACAAAGGGCAGCACCCTCGGCTGTGCCCGCAGCTTCCGGCTGCCGACCGAGCTGTGGGCGGCTGGCCCCAGGAAGCAGAAGCCCTCAGGGTGACGTCGGTGGCAGTGGCGTCCCTCCACCTTGGAGGGAAAAGTGTCAGGGTGAG